TTACAGTCTTTATTTTACAGTTAAAATAAATGTTTATTAAATAAAGTCTAATGTTACAACTAATCATGGATCCCTTTAAGTCCCTTTGACTCCGCAGCTCTTTATACTTCAGCCCTTCACAGGCTGATGCTAAGCTCTGGAGCTCACTGACAGGTGGGGCGCCACCAGACCCTCTGACCACAATCAGTAGGCAAGGTGGGTGAAGTTTCTTGCCCAATGATACATCAGCTGGAGTGGGGAATGAACAGGCAACCCAAAGGTTACAGGACGACTCCCCTAACCACTCTGCCAATAGCGCAAAAATAAACTTGTTGCAGTCTGTTTTTCTTCTCAGGAACACTTTAAAAACTACAGAAAGTCTGAAGCCGAAGACACCAGATCAAGAGGTCTAAAGACCACCAGGGTCTGAAGCTGAAGACACCAGATCAGGAGGTCTAAAGACCACCAGGGTCTGAAGCTGAAGACACCAGATCAGGAGNAGGGTCTGAAGCTGAAGACACCAGATCAGGAGGTCTAAAGACCACCAGGGTCTGAAGCTGAAGACACCAGATCAGGAGGTCTAAAGACCACCAGGTTTCCCTCCAAAAAACTCCCGCCCAGAAACCAGAGGTCATACTCACCAGCTTCAAACACCAGGGCGTTGGCTTTGGCCACGGCTCTCTTATAGCAAACATACAGAGCTGGACCCCACTGTAGACACACACACACACACAAACACACACATCAGCAAAAAGTAGACAGAAATATAAACCTGCTCTCATTGTCTGGTTTTCTGATTCTGGATCGATTTTGAATCAAATCGTGGCTCCAAACATCAGCACTGAATCGAATCACGGCAGAGTAAAAGATTCCCAGCCCCAGTTTACAGCATCGTTAGCATGGATAGAGAGCTTACAGCATCTATTACAGTGGGTAGAGAGTTTACAGCCTTGTTAGCATGGAGATGTAGCTAATGTAAACAGAGAACTTCAAACATCCCAGACTTTATCCTCAGCAGACCCTCAGGGTGTTCTGGACTCTGCTGGTACTCACCATGCCTGTGTTGAGGTTTTTGTCAACCCGACAGAAAGTGTGTGGCGCTACCTCCCCCTTGCTGGGCAGCAGCAGGGCGATGTCGGTGACGCCCAGCGTGTGGAGACCCTGAGAGTCCAAAGCCCGGCGATACGTCAGGAAGACACGGTGAGCTGTGGGAGGGCCTCCCGAGCTCAGGCTGGCCGAGCGACTGTAGGGCGTGGTCTCAATGACATACCAGCCCTGTTTCAGCTGCTCCTTCCCCTCATATAGAACCCTGCAGACAGACGACAGGTCATACAGGTGAGTTTTAATCTACCCATCTAATCATCCATCCATCCATCCATCCATCCAGCCATCCATCCATCCATCCATCCATCCATCCATCCATCCATCCATCCATCCATCCATCCATCCATCCATCCAGCCATCCATCCATCCAGCCATCCATCCATCCTCTTCCTTTTATCCAGGACCACATCATCCACATAAAGCAGAGATGTGATCCTAAGGTCACCAAAAAGGATCCCCTCAACACCTTGGCTGCTCCTAGAAATTCTGTCCATGAAAGTTATGAACAGAATCAGTGACAAAGGACAACCTTGGTGGAGTCCATCTCTCACGGGAAACAAGTCTGACTTACTACGGGCGTTGTGGACCAAGCTCTGGCACCAGTCCTACAGGGACCTAACAGCCCATATCAATGGGCCTGGTACCCCATACTCCCGGAGTACCCCCCACAGGAGTCCCACAGGGAAACGGTTGAACGCCTTCTCCAAGTCCACAAAACACATCTAGACTGGTTGAACTCCCATGAACCCTCCAGGACCCTGCTGAAGGTGTAGAGCTGGTCCAGTGTTCCAGGACCAGGACCAAAACCACACTGCTCTTCCTGAATCTGAGATTCGACTATCTGATGGACCCTCCTCTCCAGGACCCCTCAATAGACCTTACCAGGGAGGCTCAGAAGTGTGATCCCCCTATAGTTGGAACACACTCTGCGGTCCCCCTTTTTAAATAGAGGGACCACCTCCCCGGTCTGCCAATCCAGGGGAACTGCCCCCGATGTCCACACGATATTGTAGAATCGCGTCAACCAACCCAACAACACCCAGAGCCTTAAACTCCGGGCCAGTCTCATCCACCCCCGGCGCCCTGCCACCGAGGAGCTTTTTAACCACCTCAGTAACCTTGGCACCAGAGATTGGAGAGTCCGACCCAGGGTCCTCAGGCTCTGCTTCCTTCTCATGGGAAGACATGTTGGTGGGACTGAGGAGGTCTTCAAATATTCTGCACACCGACTGACAAAGTCCAGAGTTGAGGTCAGCATTGCACCATCCCCACCATAAAGTGTTGGTGGTGAACCGCTTTCCCACCCGAGATGCCAGATGGTGGACCAGAATCCTATGGAAGTCTTTTTCCATGGCCTCTCCGAACTCCTCCCACACCAGAGTTTTTGCCTCAGCGACCACCCGAGCTACAATCCGGTTGGACTGCCGATACCTATTGGCTGCCTCCAGAGTCCCACAGGCCAAAAAGACCTGATAGGACTCCTTCTTCAGCCTGACAGCATCTCTCACCGCTGGTGTCCACCAGCGGGTTTGAGGGTTGCCCCCACAACAATGGAGGTACAGAACATGGCCCACTCAGACTCAATGTCCTCCACCTCCCCCGGAACATGTTCCAAGTTCCCCCGGAGGTGTGCGTTCCTCCCAACCACGCCTCTCCAGGTCTCACTGTCATTGCCCACGTGAGCGTTGAAGTCCCCCAGCAGAACGAGGGAGTCCCTGTTAGGAGCGCTCTCCAGCACCCCCTCCAAGGACTCCAAAAAGGGTGGGTAATCTGAACTGCTGTTAGGCTCATAGGCACAAACAACAGTCAGGGCCCATACCCTACATGTAGGTGGAGGGAGTCTACCCTCTTGTTCACCGGGGTGAACCCCAACGTACAGGCACCAAGATGRGGRGCAATAAGTATGCCCACTCCTGCTCGGCGCCTCTCAGCATGGACAACTCCAGAGTGGAAGTGTCCAACCCCTCTGGAGGAGACTGGTTCCAGAGCCAGAGCGGTGCGTCGAGGTGAGTCCAACTATATCTAGTCTGAACCTCTCAACCTCACACACCAGCTCAGGCTCCTCCCCCACCAGAGAGGTGACATTCCACGTCCCTAGAGCCAGCTTCTGTAGCTGAGGATCAGACCGCCAAGGTCCTCACCATCAACCACTGCCCAGCACACATTGTACCTGACCCCTACGGCCCCTCCCACAGGTGGTGAGCCCATGGGAAGGAGGATCCACGTCTTCTCTTCGGGCTGTGCCCGACCGGGCTCCATGGGTGAAAACCCGACCACCAGGCGCTCGCCAACGTGCCCCACCCTCACCTGATCCCTCACCTAGGACCTGTTTGCCTTGGGTGACCCTACCGGGGGGGCATGAAGCCCCTAACAACATAGCTCCTAGGATCACTGGGACACTCAAACCTCTCCACCACGTTAAGGTGGCAGCCCAGTGAGAGGACATTAATCTAATAAAGCTTTATTCCACAATTAATTATAAGTCATTTAACTGTTTGCATCCTAGTCAGAACCTGTCTGAAATCCAACGGCAGGACTCAGGTCCTCATCGGGCTCGTAGGATTTAACCCAGGACAACTCAGCAGAAGAAGAGGAAACAAATGAGGAAGAGAGTCCAGAACAGCGGGTCCAGCATGTTACATAATCCTCAGATTATATAATCTGAAGCTTTAATCTGCCTCACAGGAGCTGCTGCTTCTGTAACAAACCTGACCAGAACCAAGACTGATCCAGATCCTGATCTGAACAAAAACCACAGATCTGAATTTTATCTGAGGACAACAGATTATTTCAGAACATCTTAAACCAGAGGTTTCACAAAAGTCAGATTTGTAAATCCAGGATCTGAGCTGTAAGCTGAGCTTGAACTAGCCTTCAACTTGTAAACAGCTGTAATCTGTTGATCTAACACCAAGCCACGCTCAGTTAGGGTGGTTCATTAAAACCAGCTGTAAATAATCTGGGATTAATGCACGTTCACAGTTTGTTTACTGGACCCACTGGGTGGATCACAGATTTCCTGATCAGACATGAGCAGTAAGACATGTGAGTCTCACTTCCTCCAGCAGTGTAAGGGTTAATTATGATTCATGTGAAGAGAAGAAGAGAAACACCGACTGATGCTGAAATAATTTCAAAAGTAAAAACTTTTTGTGTCTGAATCTGTAAATTATCTGAGATTAACTAAATGAACTAAATTAAAATGAACATCTGATCACTCACTTTGTCATGGTCTGTGTTTATT